GAAGGGAGGGTACGGCAGCAGCTGCAGCGCCCTGGACAGGAGCTTTGAGGTCTTCCTCAGTCATTGCTGTTAATGGTGTTTTTCGTTCAGTGAGCGCTTCGTAATACTCCTTGCTGCAACGCAAAACCAAGACATGAGGAAGCAGACAGTCTAATTGCAGAAGCAGAAGTTGTGCTGTATCCAGCCCTCTCCTTGATTTAGCCCCCTCCACTCAACACTTACTCGAAGGGAGCCTTGTTCTCCTCCGCTGCAGGCTTCATCTCACAAAAAAGAAATTTGGCACTTGTTTGTGAAGTTCGATACTCTTGTGTTTGTGGAACGCATGTTCCAATGGCGCAGCCAACTCTGGTGCTCTTAGACGAAAGAAGGTGTGCGAGGTTGGCGCCGTCTGGTTCCGCCCAGAAGTCCGTCCACTTCTGCTGAGTATCAGTTTCAGGGTATGACGTCAGCTTTCTGAGGGAAGAGCAGCAGTCGACATAACAATAACATGCAGAATTAGCATTTAAATCAATTGGATCAGCCTTGCTGATGAAGATGAAGCGGGTCTGTGTCGGGAACGCGGTGTATGAGAGTATGGCGGCTATGATTATGGAGGATTGTTCGTCTCACTCTCTTCCCTTGTAAACATTTTACGAATGCATATAAAATCACGGCACAGACATGTCCTATCTTGTGTAATTAGACTATCTACTTGCTTGTGTGTTGGTGTTGTGCTGAGGGGAGTAAAGATGCACTCACTTAAGTCCAGCGTCAAGAGCTCTCTGCACCGCTTGGCGATAGTTCAGGTCTTCAGCGTCTGTGAACTGTGCGGTAAATTTTGTCTTCTTCTGAAAGTTCAAACAGAAGCGAAATATGTCAAATATATTTTCGTGTTTATGCAGGAGTCCATAAACGTATAAAAGTGTATTTACGGCCGCCAGTCGAACATTTAAACGGTGGATTTACTCACGAGTTTTGCGATAGCGTCGTCACACGTAGTGGGTGGCGACGATTCAGATGCCCACGATGTGAATGCATTCTCTAGACCTTCAGACAGGTCGCTGTTCTCCATCAATACGCCAATCCGTACAGACATCTGACCAACGCGGGCCAAGTTCACGGAGGTGTATGCATCTGCAAG